TCTTCTAAAATATGAAAGAAAAATGTTGTGAATATATATCATTGCATCACATGCACTTTGATCGATGTATTGGTGTATCTGAAAATACATTCGATAAGCCTATGTATATATATATATATATATATTATATAAGGTTAGAATCTACTTATATTTAGTGTAAAACTTTTTGTTTTATACCTTTATAGAATCGTTAGAGGAGAGAAAATCAAAGACTAATATTAATTCGATTTTTTTCGGTGAATATCTTCTTGTTTCCTATTGTTAATCTCAACCTTTGATTTCCCTCATCCAAAGGTCCTAAAAAATGTAAAATTAAAAGTTTTACACTAAATGTAATTGAATCATGTCCCATACATATATATATAATATAGAAGACAATATAAAAACCCAAACAAAGTATAACCATCATCCTCTGCGGGCATATGCACTGAAGTTGACATCAAATTTGGAACTCCAAAACAGTAAACTTTTGATTAAGGATTAAGTCCAGAGTCAATCTTCACTAAGTGAGGCCAATGTGTCAATTTTCACATAATGATTCCTGTAACCCCCTCAGACCGATGCAGGTAACCCGATCCGATCTGGGTTGTCACATTAGGGTCATCGGAGCGACCCACTGTAAAAATAGCAGAAAATTTAAAACTTTTTATCAGAACATGTAAACTTATAAAATCATTTGTCACTATTTAAAAATTAAACAGATTTTTAGACTCGTATATAAAACAAAATACAATTACATGCCCCCTAATCACATGTATCATACTCTGCAACAACGCCGGAAAAACTCCCTTACTGATGTCGATAGCTGCACTAGTACAATTCTTTTAACCTGCAATGTTGAGTAATAGAGTGAGCTTCGGAAAGCTCAGTAATACAGAACTACCAGATGATGCTGAAGAACTTGCAGATACAGATAAACATACATTTCCTTATTGGTTCAGATATCTACATATTTTTAGGCTGAGTTGAGGTCCATTGATATCGCAGGTAGTAACAGATAATATTCATTTCAGATGGAAATATTTCGGATGTTTAGGTTCAGGAGATCAGAATAGGTTTTCTAATGTGTTCCCGTAAAACTAGTAAGAAGATACAGATCTTTTAAAACATATATATATATATACTCCCATCCGTTCACATCATAAATGTGTAGGTTCCCCAGAACCATACACCTAACCGCACATGCCATTTAGACCCTGAGCACAAAGCCGAGGAGTCTGCAAATAATCTTCCTCCAACAATAAACCCCCAGATAAAACATTTTTCCGTCGGTAAACGGAGATATCAAAAACCAAAACATAATTAGATCATATATCAGAACAGAATCCATGTTAGGAATCAGAACAAATTTCAGATCAGATGTCAAAACAGAATTCAAATCAGAAATCAGATAAAATATTCATATAAGTAGGGAACACACTAGAGTTTCCAGATATTATTTAGAGATACAAGTTAATCTTATCGGGCAGAGAAACACAAATATTCAGTTTACCGATAGAATGCCGGAAATTAGAATCACTATTAGAAGAGTTTGTTAACTGACAAAATCATCAGTTATTCATAATATGCTTATCATGATCATCTTATTCAAACATTTATCGGAAGCTCTACGTAATAAGAAGGGTATTCAAAATTCTTTACATATGAGTTACTTATGTTTTCATACATGACCAGAGTGATTTGAGTTGATAAGGAATAACGAAGATTCAGGACCTTTAAAATCTATGTCGATTGATCAAATTATCGAACAACTCTAGATAAATAACTCACAGAACTAATACTTGTCAATTTGTCAAATTCATTAACCTTCCAGGGTATTTACTCTTTAATACCAAATATTCTTATCCATATATCACATTCTGAGTCATCAATGAACATATCTTAAGGTGACTAACAGATATTCTAATGGTCTTTATTTCATTTCCATGTGTCAACTATATCAGGAAATGCCGACGTACTTTATTTGTGGTTCATAATCCATAGGGGTAATACATCACGTAAGTTCATCAGAATTTTCATGCTTATTCCAATCTCTTACTTAATCCTCAGTCCTTGAGGTTACCTAGTTCATTTAGCAGTCAAGTCTATTCCAGCTACTTCAGAATTTTCCAGAGTAATTCCGGACATTTCTGAATTTTGGATACATATTGTACTTCCTTTCAGTTTAGTTCGGTATTCGTAGTTGATTTGTCGAACAAATATAAAATTCTTAGTATTGAATGCGATCTAGAGTTTTTGAGCTGAATATTTCCAAAATTATCATCGAACCAAACTTGAGAAGATGAACACGCGTTCGAATAATATCTATGTCGTTCAGGTACTGACATATCATTAAGGTTGATCAGCTCACTTAAGTTGTGATCCATAACTTTTAAAGGTAGTCCCACACCTCTGCTTATTTGGATTCCTTAATGAATCCAAGACATTTACTTAGTATATGCTATAAGGGCATTTTGGTAATTTTGGTATTTCGTTTTATTCCATTCATTTCAGAGCTCAAGGATATCCAATCATTCCTGAGCTTGGTGATATTCTTGGGTCATTTCCATTGCAGGGGTATTATGGTCATTCTACAGATCCGATGTATTTCAATAATTTCCTTCCATCCTATCTTATTATTTAATTCCAATTTATCATATATTTCAGTCCCTTCGAACAATTCTGATAAAAGAGCACCCTCCGATAAATTGTTCTTCATGTATTTACTCATAACTCGTATATTTTCGGGTCAAGTGCCTTCTCAGATTTTTACCAACGGAATATCAAGAATTCTTCTGCACTAAGTCGGATCTTAACAATCAAATTCGTACTTAATCAAATTAAGTACAAATCCTCAAAGTACTTTCTCATTCAGGGTCAACTCAGACTATTTTACCTCTCAAGGGCATTTTCATAATTTCTTAACCAGTTAATTTCGATATTAGCTCTTAACGAAAATAATTATAATTTAAAGATCCTATGGTCAATTGCTTTCCCGAACATTCTCTGATCTTGAAATTATTACTTAACAAACTTCTAACATCTTGCACAAACCCTTTTTTGGCGTTAAAAATCAGTTATCCAAATTTTCTAAACAAAACTATCATTTCTTATGCACATATGTAATTATATTATATCAATATGTCCTTTCAGAGTTATTAACCAACTTCCAGGGATAATTCTTGTAATCCTACAACATAAGGATATTTTCGTAATTTTACTCTACTAGAGTATTATCATAATTTCTCATCCAAGTACCTTTAACATTTAACCTTTGATGATATAAAATATAAGTTACAAATCCAGGCTGATTTCTTTATCAATAATAACAAATTTGTAATTTAATTCTAAAAATTCCTCAATCTCTTATATTAGTCATTCGATCTGTATTCAATTACAAAATTTCTACCACATTCATATTCAGTGTATAAATTATTCAACTCCACAAAAGTGACAAACATTATCTTATTCATGCATTTACCAATATCAACATATTCCATAAAGCATAAAGAGGTGGTAAAGTATTACATCGATTTCTGTGCCATACTGATCGACCATAAAAATTCCATTCGAATACCCTCAATCTTGAAATCATCTTCCAATATTTCCTCAGATCCATATCAATAGAAATTACATCAAAAACGGTGATTAATTATGAAAAACAGATCGAATCAGATGATAAATCAGTGAAAAACAGCTTATCGGATTCGAATTTGGCGAAACGGACTTCGGATTCGGATTCAGGACGTCAAAAGCATAAAATATGACTTTTCGAAAATTTGGAATTTTTCGGTCAAAATCAAAGTCAACGGGTTTGACTGGCAATTTCGAGGCCTTCGGGTCCGAATTTTGAAAAACGGACTACGAAACCGGATTTGGAACGTCGAAAAACGTCAGGATAGGTATATTCGGTCGAAGTCAAAGGTCGTTTAATGCCCGGTCAAAGTCGGTCAAAGTTCTGGTCAATTGCGGTCAAAGCCGACCAACGATCAACGGTCGACCATTTTACACAAATAACACCCTAACAGAAATTAATTACCAAATTAGCCACATTCTGCAAATATTTATTAAACTAACACCCAAATTTTACACAAATAGCACCCAAACAGAAATTAATTACAAAGTTATCACCCAGACGATGACCACTCTCGGGGGTGGCGCGTGCATCGCGTGAACAGTAATCCGGTGTCGGAAAATTCCTAAAAATTATTTTAAACGATTTTGAGGTACTTACAAAGCTCGGTTCACAATTTTGAACGACGGAGAGCTTGATTTCAAAACGTCGGAAACTTTGACGGTCTCACCCCTCCACGCGCCGGTGATAACGGAGAAACAGAGAACATCGGTGGACTCGGAACGATGCAAGGAACACGATGGTGCAGGAGGTGTCGTAAACGGATGACCGGATCGTCGTGAATCGACAAAAACCCAACTAAAACCGAGTTATTACCGACGATACTTCCGACTGAAATTAACGACGAACGACGACGATTCACAACGAAAGGTGTGAGGGGTTTTGTTCCTCGATCGACAACGAACACGATGGTGGTTTCGGTTCGTCGATCGGAGGTCGGACGACGAGTAAATCAGAGTTGAAAGAAGGGTTGTTGGGGAATAGAAAACTGAAAAATGCGGGGAATGGTTTATAATTCAACTCATAATAAAAATGAATAAACCAAGTGTTTAGTAACTGAACTTCCTGCACTTCTTAAAACGATCTACCAACTTTAAAATTTTATAATTTAATCCACCGTTTCTTTCAAAATACCAATTAAATCCTCCACTTTATAATTTCTTAAATTTAGCCAAAAATTGGGATGTTACAATTCCAATTGACACAATCAAAGGACAATTGGAATAAACTATATCCGACCATAACAAAATTTTAAAATCCAAACTCAGTAAGGTGATTGGCCAGCACCCTGTTCAATCGACTCAAAAGCAACCTACTACTATAAACCAAAATGGAATATCCCTAACTTTTCAAATGCAAGAAAACCCCAAAAAATCTGAAACTTTTACTCTGATAAAAATGACCCAACACCATTTTGATGATGGAGCACTCAATTTGTCTTTCAATCCAATACCTGAATTACAAACTGGAACAGAGAATTTTACCAAACTGCAATACAATTGCAAGCAACAATCCAACTACTAACATGGCTATGTCTTCTTGAAACTTAATCAACAGTCATACATTAAATTGACAAAATCCACCCTAGTAACATTCATGTTGCCCATCTAACTGATTATTTAAACATGCTTCTCCTAGCTGTGTTCTCACGTCATGTTTCTCATCCTGATGATGTTGCAGATGTTCCTTGTAATGAAGTCATGACCTCCCCAGGGGGAGGGTGATCAAATTTGCACGTTGCACCATACTTGCATGTCCCGGTCTTCATGTAGTACGGACAATGCACGGATCCCTGTCAATGTATCCCACGATTATTTCAATAGCATCGGCCAAAAACTACAATTTTATTCTTGAAGATGTATCCTAGACAAATATTAATTCTATGTACACATATATAAACAAAGAAAAAGAAAAAGATTATAATTAGTAGTAAAGATATTAGTAAATAAAATAAAATAAACCTCTCTCCTAGGTAATCCTGCAAGCGTGAGCTTAATAGCCTGCTGAGAAGCTTCATTGGTTGCTAACCTATCAACGGGGTGATGAAATCTGCATCTCTCTCCAAATTTACATTCTCCAGTTTTCATATAGTACTGCAATGTTAATAAATAAAATGGGGAGAAGTCATCAATAAGCATATGGATTCCTGCGATGCTTATCATCAAAAAGTGAGCCAAAAGTCTGTCCAAGGTAACTTGGATGCTTTATGTCACGAAAGAATTGTGCGGCTCTAATCCAAGATCAAATCATGTGTAAAATCTTGATAGTCATAAGAATATTGGGTAACAACTAGGAATTCAAAATAACAATTAAAAAACAAATATATGTTGAAACTTGGAACATAAATGGATTGATGCGCACATCACATTCAGTTTGTCCAGGTCTCTGAGGATACACAGTTGGAGTGCCTGCCAACTGCAATATGTAAACAAACAATATGCATCAACACTTAGGGAAACAATAAAAATTCAGAAACATCAAACAAAATACCTTCCCAGAGAAAAAAGCTCTTGCGTTATTGTACAGGATATTTTGGCAAACATGGGAAGAAAAGTTGAAGCTGAAAAGTAAAGATTACTCTAGATTTTGCAAAAAGGTATCTAAAAGCAGTCTGTCCAATGTGATCAAAGTGGCTACAGGAACTCATAACCACAGGCTGAGTGAAGCTTGGGAGATATGAATTTGAACAAAAGAATGTAGCATATGAGTGACTTAATAGCCCTTGGAAAAGAATGTAGCAATGAGATTGCCAAATCAAGCGGAATTGCTGTAAGATTGAAATTATCAACGGCCCCAATATGTCATAGAAAATAGAAACACTTGCAAACAAGTGACAATGTAGTTGGAAAATGACCTGACCCTCAAGAAAATATTACCTAAAATGTTGATTAATAAAATATTTACAAGTTTATTTTTCATCTTTTTGTTATTTGAAATCTTTGAAAAAATAAGATATGTTATTAGAATTAGCAAAGGTCTTTACTCAACAAAATTTAACCTGATCATTCGACCCAATGGTAAATGCAAGTATCCATTGCTCAAATAGCTGGCTTCAAGTCACCCCCTCCTCCAAATAGAAAAAAGACTAAGAAAATTATACTCGCTATTTCAAATTGAATAATTATGTTTAATTTCGTATGAAGGTTAAACAAAAAGTTCTTCAACTTTTTTCTAGCCACCCAAACTGATTTAAATTGCATAGGCTTAGAACATGCAACCATATTTGAATTAGACCAATGCCAATCTAGCTGGCCAAGGCTGAATCTAGTCATAGCAAGCCAAATTGCAATATGTAAGGCTGAATTTGGACTAAGATAGCTAGATGAGGGTTGTAGGTTTGGAGGTATGATAGAGAAGTAAAAAGAAAGGAGAAAAAAAGAAAAAAGAAAATAATAATTCCTTTTATTGTTTTAAATGAAAATTAGATTTTTGAAGATAAAATAAACAAAATTGTCAGAATTAATTTCATATTCAACAAAATTTTATAAGGAAAAAGCTTCTTGGGCAGGTTGGGCCTCTCCCATAAAAATGGGCAAAAAGTGGTTGGACATGCAACTAGAAATTCAATGGGCATTTACAGCCCTATCCATTTAAAAATTGACATACTAGCTCCAGGTCACCCATGTACCACTAATCATGCAGTTTGACATATGATAGGGACAGAAGAAGGAAGAGAGGTGGAGGGCTATCGTGAAACATAAAATTTTCCATGCAGAAACATAAAAACTCTCATTACCGTTGACAATGTTTGCTGTGCAAGAAGAGTTGTCTGACTTAATCTAGGGTCAAGAGTTTGATATATAGAAGCAGCTGGATTAACAACTCCAATGTTCATATTACTTGCAGATGCTACAAGCGAATGGCCTAATGCTGCAGGAGGAATAAATGCTGCACAAAAGCTCAACAGTAAAGTGTGAGGTGCAAATACTGAATGCAACATTTATAAACTTAAATGAATTATATCTTCAAAATTATAAACATCAAATTTGACATACCATTCCTATCAGGATGATTGTAGCGGCATGTAGAACCATACTTGCAACTAAAATTGAAAAGTTAGAAAATTTAGAAGTTTGAATCATACACCATAATTATTTGATTATAAATCAATTTGACAGATTACTAACATATACCTGCCAGTTTTCAGGTAGAATGGGCAATCTACTTCATCCTGTCAAAAACAAATATACATTATCTATGACCTTCATAAACTTGCTCTTAAGCTCATGGAAAATAAAGTACCTAACAACCAAGTAAAGTGAATACACAGACAAAGAAAACAATTATAAAGTTGATTAAATACTTTTGTCTAATATATCTATGAATAAACATTCTTATAAAGCTTGAAAAAAATGTCCAACATATATTTGGCACTCATAATTCGAAATGAAAGTTTAATCTGCCAACAGCCGAAAACATCCAGTTACCTAGCAGTTTACTGAAACATATAAAAGAGCATAACTTTGATCTAGATCTATGGTTGTCCCATTGTCAAAAAGAACAGAACACCTTTAATCAGTTATGTGGATGAAGCTCTAAAGAGGAGACTAGGAACCAACAATTGCCTAGTCCAAATTCAGTAAATGAAGCTTACTATTGACCTTTAGTTGCAGAGAGATTACTAGGACTATTTCCTAACGTTGGACTTACTTTCCATTAGACAGGCATGATCAATCTAGAGAAGTCTTTATTCCCATTACTTGAAAATAATAGCAGTACACTGAATATTAAACTTTCTTCATTTAATCCAGCAGCTGGTCATAAAGCATTGCAGCAGCTCCTCAATTCAGTGTTCTAGAGCTCATTGTAAAGGCCACACAGCTTAGAACGACAGGAAGACCACAATGAATACCACAGACCAAGACTTTGAGGAACCTTTAGATAGAAATGTTCAGACAGTGGATCCCATTTAATATCTAAGGATGCACTTCACCTTGTAAAGCATAGTATAGTTCATCAAATTACTATGGTAAGTTATTTGGATGCTAAAGATAGCTTAGAGGGTCATAATGGGAATGAGATCATCATCAACAATGATGTTGTGCCTACTTACTGTACACGTTAATTGCATTTAGAGTGTTATTAATCAACTATGAGATTGGCAATTGTGATTTGAAGCTGATTGTGGTAGGGTTGATCCTACGTTTAACCACAAATTTCCTGACAAGAGTTCACTGCCCTGCCTCCTCGAAATCAATACCAGATGCCTCTTGATTTTATACTTCTCACAACACTTTTCATTTTAATCTATTCAGATTCTTTCCCAACACATATTTACATTATGGGATTAGATAAAATAAATAAATGCAAATTTATACGGATTTAATTTTACCAAGACAAGAGTGATAGTACTAAAACATTTCACGTCACTGATGGAGTTATACTTGACCGGTTCACTAAATTGAGTGCCAGTCCATTTACCCACATTTCTTCCTCCCATTACTTAAACTTAATGCCTATATATTGCCCCTTATAACTTGAATGTTAAGTCAATTTTTTCATGTCAAAAGTACAGTTGCTTATTAGGATGCCATACTTCCCTACTTATTCTAAGTCACTTACTTATTCTAAGTCACTGACGCACCAACTATTTATTAAAAAGGAAAAACAAATGCATGCACAGATACATTACCGGTCTCATTGGAAGTCCTTTGGAATTGTGATATAGTGCCGGCTTAATGTCTCCTGTTATTCCACCAATATTCGAGACTGTATCATTCTGCTCGTAGTTGGCATTGTTTTGTATGGATAACTGTATTTGGATATCTTTTGGGTGGTTGAATTTGCAAGTAGCCCCAAACTTACAGTTTCCAGTCTTCATGTAGAACTGCAAAAGTTATAAGATCAAAGATCACAAATTTAAAGTCACATTTGGTACTAGTCAACCATAGGAGGTAAATATCTTACAGCACAAGGGGGTTCAGAGGGCCTTTCTGGTAAACCAGATGCCTGTACATTCTTGGAATCACCCTGAGAAAAGAATCATGACGTTACCATAAAGAGTCAAATGAAAATAACTGCAAAGTAAGGGAACCCTGGATGAATGGACCATACAGAAGGATCCAGTTCATCTTTTGGGTGATTGAACTTGCACTTCGAACCAAATTTGCATCTCTGAGTTTTCATAAAATACTGCAAAATCAATCAGGCAATAGAATGGAATATTTTAAGAACTAGTCTTCAACTTATCAAATAAACTAAAAGCATAAAAATAAATCATAGCTTACAGGACAATCTGGCTCTCCCGGTCTCTCAGGGAGGGATTCACCAGCAGGAACCACTGGAGCCTAAAGGAAAGAAGCAAATCAAACTGTATCATAATACAGTAGCCTAACTTTCTGTTTTGGCAATAACAGTGTAAAATTTCTAATATAGAAAACAAATATGAGTAATAAGCACATTCTTGTGTCCTCATGAGAAATAAACAGCTTTTAAAAAATGTAGAACAGATTGCAATGTATCTTTAATTGGAACAACCATGTAATTCTTGTCCAGACAGTGTGCAAGTCAAACAAAAATAACAATTTGATGATCCCAATTATTACATATGCACAGAGGGGGGAAATGAAGTAACAAAAGTAGATATTAATGCGATCCTTTCAGAAATTAAGAACCACAAGCTATGACAAAATAGACCATCAAACTTAGCCAAACAACTGAGAGAAGAAATGTTATTAACCCTAGGGTGTATCATTTTCACCCTCCACTGCATTGAAACCGTCTAGCAGGAGAAACTGACAGCAATACACATTCCTAGAAAGGCACTGACATGCACCAATTGTAGGAGATTGGAGAGCTGCCCCTTTTACCACATTTTTCTCAGGCTGAAGTCAGACAATGTCTCAGCTTCCTTAAAGAAGATGCCAGAAATTCTTGAGGCAAGGCCTTAAGGAGAAACCCGTGTTCTGCATACCATCATTCTAGGTTGCTCTTATTAGCAGTTACCCCCAAACACCAACTCCTATACGCATGCCCTAGAAGAGCCACCAAAAGTAGACATATTGCTTTCTTCTATCCTCATTTTTTGCAAAGGTTGAGAGAGAGAAAATACTCTTGCGTAGTTGTGTCCCTCTTTTGACTCCAGAAAGGGGGGAATTCCATTAGGAATATAAGTTCATTGCGATAGAAGGGTGAAATTTTAGACATACTTTAGAATTTGTAAACTTTAAGTAAATAATGGAACTCCCAAATTCCTTTCTATTAAAACTATTATATTAAAAAAAAATTCTAAACAACTATTATGAAGATATATATACATAAGCATGGAATTTGAATCTTACAAAACAAGACCATCATCTAACAAAAGCATACATCTAGGCCTGAAGAATGTTCAGGAACTTGGGTGTTCCAAAGAAATAACAAGAAATCGGATTAATATGATATTAATTAAATGGTATCTATATATAAATAATATTAATAATTATTATACAATAATAACAGGAACATAAAATTCAAAGAGAGGGTGAATTTTGGGAACCACTATAGAAAATGGACCATTTCTCTATTTCCTAGTTACTAGATATCATTTAGAATAGTAATTGGGTTTCATAAAATATTCAAGCATAATGCTATAGTAGTACAAATTAAAAAATCTTTTGAATACCAATAAAATTATAGAATAACCAGACAAGCCTCGCAAATATGCTTATCCATGCAGAAAAGCAGCAATCATATACTTTATAGGCCACAAATAGTATTTAGATAATAGTACTTCTTAAAATAAAATTTATGCATTTGAAAATAAAATTCCATTTGGATAGTAATGCTTATATTTTACCCAAGGAAAAGTAATTTCTATAGGCATAGTCTAATAAGATTCATTATCATTTGCGCAAAAGATGGCAATAAACGGTCACCTCTTTCCAATATGGGATTCCACCTTCGGGAACCCAAATAGGATGGTCAAACTTGCAGCTATCTCCAAACTTACAGGTTCTTGTGAGCATATAATGAGCACAATCCTTTTCTCCTGGCCTCTGAGGATATATAGGTAAATTGCTCGCACTCTCCAATCTAGGTCGCTTGACTAAAGAGCTAGCGGAGTACCAAGCTTCAAGCTGCCCAAGTGTGTTTTGGGTATCCAAAACATTCTGATGATAGAGAACTATAGTACATAGTAGTTATATGCAACAAAAACAGGAAATATATATGTTAATAATATAAGTTCGACATAAAATGTGCTTTTATATAAAGAAGATATAATGGCTTGGGAATTATACATCAAATAACTGTGTCAAAAAATTACAAATACTTTAAATTTTTAATTTAAAAATATGACTGAATTCTAGATATATAGTTAGACTAGATACAAAGCTAATTACCGTCATAGGGAGATACCCAAAGTTGCTAACAGTTAAATAAGGATCAAGATGACTTACAATACTAGTACAAAAAATATACATACACAAAATGGGGTCAAATTTTGAACAAGCTGATCCCAGGTTGCATTAAACCTCAATGTTAGTACAGAATAAGCTCAATAACAATATCATCACTGCACTGACGATGAAAAACCCCACAAGCATGAAGACATCAGAATTAAGTTGTTTGGTCTGATAATAACGGCATCATAACCATTTACTATAAAGAACAAGAGTTGATCTAAAAGTTCGAAAGGCAGCAAGTAAAGGTTAATGCTAAAGCTCACCCTTAGCATCAATATTTAGATCAAATAGCGAGCATCTAAGACGGCAGTTTCGTAACAAGAAAAAAACGTTCAAAACACAATAAAGAAGAAATAAATAAAAATGGTAATCTGATTTGTATATGGAATCCTTGAAACTAAAAGAAGCAGTTGATATAATATGTTATGAGGGTAGCTCGCTTACCTTGAGAGGGGCGTTTGATGAGTGCGGCGGCGGATGGGTGGAACTGATGAAGCAAATGAGACTGAGACTGAGTGGTGGTATCGGCGTCGATATAGCGTTGGAGAGTGGAGGCGGAAGGTGATGGGGAAGAGTAACCGTAAAATTGGTTGGCCATTTTGGCCACTGCTACTAACCCTAATTCACGAAAATTTTAATTATGCCCTTCTCTCTCTCTCTCGCTGCTAAATTAGATGTCTGAAGAAGTAATATTTTCTTGGTTTTTTAGATTCTTTTCATTTTTATTGATTATCGAAGCCAACCCCGGAACCAGCAGTGGCGCCGCTCGGTAGGTCAGGTACCACTACAATGCTCTCAACAAATTATTTATCAGAAACCAAATAAATTTTACAACTCTTTTCTTGGAATTAGAAAAATAATATTTGTATGTAAATATTGATTTTAAATACTAAATTTTAAATAAATTATAATTGTGGTTCATGACTGGATTGTTTGTCTTCAAATGTTCAATTTATCTATAGAGACGTAATAAATAAAGCATTCAATAAATTTACCCAAAAAATAAAGCATTTGCTAAAATGTTTATAAATTGTTTGTATAAGGTTTGTTTATTAAATTAAATAAACGAGTATGAATATAATTTTTTATGTTTATTTAATAAATGAGAAAACACGAACAAACATGTATTCAGTTCGATCATGTTTGCGTTCTGATTCGTTTGAAAACTCATTTATTGATTTGTGTATTTTATTTTTTTTATTTTTTACATTTTAAATATTGATAAATGTATGAACTAAATTGAATACATAATCGCCCATTGTGAAGGGTTGCAACATGATCAACATCGAAAACATGATTACCACATACAATAAAAAAAATCACAAAACTCCTTAATAGATGAAATGTATGCTCGCACGACCATCTGACCTTTACTAATAGATGTAAATTTATAGTGAACATAATGGACCTACTATTATTGACGAATTTTCAAATCACACATGACGTTTAAACATCTATAAAACTGTGGAAGCAAGTGATGAGCGATAATAGACAAGAGCCATAGGGTTATGGTATTGTCTTGAGCAACATAGAGCTCATACTCTTGGTTTTCGATCTCAACACAAACATCAAATATGACTGTTGAAGATGGAGTAGAGACATTGCTTTCAAGAAACTTTTCAATGCGATAACTACAAGGAGACTACAAGATGGGTTGTTTCCATAATAAAGAATTGATATCATCAAGAATAATACTTATTCATAAACGTCGTCATCATCAGACGAAGATGATTAAGGTTCGATCGTTGGACCTTTTTATGGCCCAATAGTCCTTAACAGAAAGAGAACTGCATAAGTTCAACATGTTATACAAAGATAACATGCTTAACTAATCAAAATTGAATTCAGATACAACCACCACATATCACATGGCTTAGTGAACGTTAGTTACAATAACTATAACAACCAAAACAACATCCTAAACTAATGTTGAGTTAATCGATCGACGGAATCGGCCAAGAGGGGGTGAATTGGCAATTAAAATTTTGGTGGAAGCTTTTGCAGAAAATTGAAAGTAATTGTACGGCGATTTAGAGTGGTTCGACTTTCTCAATCAAAGTCTACGTCCACTACCTTAGCTATTCACACTAAGATTTTCCAACAAATTCACTAATTTGTTTTTCTTTTGAGGCCAAAGAGATAACCTTACAACTCCCTCAAGAATATACCCCAATTCTTGAGAACACTCTTTCTCAAAGAGAAGATTACAAATTTGCAAACTTACAAGGAAATTCTCACAAGGTAGATTGTTTGCACAATTCTAGAACAAAGAAAAGAATACTCAAAAAATGAATACAATTGAGTACGAGTAGTGTTCTTGAAATCAAAATGAATATTGAATGAAAAATAGGCTTGAAATGCTCAAACTTGAGGTTTGATGCTTTCTCTTTGATTCTCTCTTGATTCTTGTTGATTGTTGTTTCTTGTTTTTATCAATAGCTTCTAAGCTTGTTTAAATACACCTTCAAATGATTATGAACGTTGGGGATGCTTAGTGGAGTTAATAGAGCCGTTTAAGTGTGAAAACAATTAATTAAAGCAGTTGGGAGCGTCAGTGCATCGATTCATACCCATGGTGCATCGGTGCATCAGTGTAAAATTCAAATATTGTGACTGTTGGACCCTTAGTGCATCAGTGCACTAAGAGTGCATCAATGCATCAAGTGCATTCGATGTTTCAAAATAGCCAGAGTGCATCGATGCATCAAATGTATTCGATGTTTTCATAAAATCCTCAGTGCATCGATGCATGGTATGTTCATCGATGCATGAAATGCATTCGATGTTCAATTTAATTCATGGTGCATCAATGCATGGATTGGTGCATCGGTGCATCACTTTGATAAATTGATTTTAGGCATGATTTTGGTTCAAAATACTTTATGAAAATTGTTTCAAAAATAGTTTAAGTATAAAACAATTTTACACATTTAGTAAGGTTTGAATTTGAACTTGAAAGACTTGGAGTAATAATTTGATATTCGATTAATTAAATCAAATATACTTAGAAAATCATTTGTAAAATCTTAAAATTCATTTAAACTTAATTTATTATATCGAAACACAAAAATGTTTTCAACAACTAATATTATAGACAACCCAACAATTAACAAATTAATAATTTATAAATGATACAGACGTCAAAATATAATTAAAATATGTCAACCTAATATAATAATAAATAAATATCCTTAAATATGCTAATAAAGAAAACACTAGAAAAAATAAGCTTTCTACATACTACATCGTCAAAAAAATTTTTTATCTATAACAAAAAAAGAGAGAAACTTCATGGAAGTCGAAATATGAAGAAATATATGCCTATATATTTTATTTTATAGATAAAGGTCTAATTTATGAAAGAAGCATCGTAAATATCAATTAACGAGGTTTTGAACCGATACAATGAATAAAAACTACTTATTTATATCATGATATGAAATAAAAATTAAAAATTAACTTATGTAATAAAATTGATCCCCCAAGTTATTGAATCATCTACCATCTACAAAAAGACAAAACTACCCTCAAACAAATTAACTCTTGGTTAAACAACTTTTTTTTTTAAATGCAATAGTTAAAATTTAAGAATAAGCATTATAACCTCTAAGAAAATTAAAAGTTACAAAATAAAAAATCATATGAAATAAATTCAAAGTGCAGTAATATTTTAATTGTATTTTTTATTCTAAATAATATTTTATAATTTACTTTCAATATTTTAATATTACTCAATCATATATAAAAAATAATAATTTCACCTTAAAATCAATACAAATATTATGAATTGTAATAATGCAAACCGAGTTATATAGTTTTAGACCAATCTTCCTGTATATGCCAACCAAGACTGCAAAAATATATTATATTATTTCAATAAATTAAAAAATAAATATATAAAATCATTATTTGCACATGTGAGATTAGCAATAAAATAACCATAAAAAGAGAAGGGATTTAATTAATTAATTAATTAATAATTTATAAATGATACAAACAGCAAAAATAATTAAATTTTGTCAGCCATTAGTCTGTGGTTTACCATCTACAAAAACACAATTGATTTGCCATCATTCTGATCAGAGCTAAAACAACCAGAATTCTGCGAAGAAATTAGAGATTTGATTCAATGGGGAAGAAGGCGGTGTTGATAGGAATCAACTACCCAGGCACAAAGGCGGAGCTGAAAGGGTGCATAAACGATGTGAAGAGAATGTACAAATGCCTTTTAGAACGCTACGGATTCTCCAATGAGGACATAAAGGTGTTGATAGACACCGATGATAGTTATGCTCGGCCCACGGGGAAGAACATCAGAAGGGCTTTGAATAGCCTGGTGAGATCGGCTAATCCTGGGGATTATCTGTTTGTGCATTACAGTGGGCATGGGACAAGGCTTCCTGCTGAGACTGGGGACGATGATGATACTGGCTACGATGAGTGCATTGTGCCCTGCGATATGAATCTCATCACCGGTTCTTCTTCCCTTTCACTTTTTGTTTCTTTTGATCCGTTGCTATATATGCTATAGATTATAGACATGCGTTTCTCATGATCGGATTTAGTTTTGTTCTCGGGAATTCAATTCTACTGTGATAACGTATTCTGAAAGTTTCTATATGGTCCGTACTTTTTGCAGTCACGGCTGAAATCTGATTTTGTTATCTGAAATCTGAATGGATGGCTTCTATACTGATTTGATTGATGCCAGATAATCTTTTTTTATTTACATGGTTTGTTTATAGTTGTAGATGTGATTTGGCATGGTTTAACAGGAAAATTTTAAATTCTTACATAATTTATATATATTTTTATATTTTTTATTGATAATTTTATTAGTTGGTCCTTAGAATTGTATAAGCCCTTGACATAAAATCATGCCCGTAATTTATGTGTTTGATTGTGCACAGATGATGATTTCAGAGACTTGGTGGATAAAGTCCCAGCAGGTTGCCGCTTAACAATCGTTTCGGATTCATGCCACAGTGGGGGGCTAATTGATGAGGCCAAAGAGCAAATTGGTGAGAGCTTCAAGGATTCAGAATCAGGATCTGGGTTCATGAACTTCTTCCACCGAACTGTGGAAGGCGTTGAGTCTCGTGGAATTCATATCCCTTCTAAATTTCGCCACCACCATAACGAGGACAAGGTGGATGACGAAATAGAGGTGGACTACGATGATGGTGCCTATGTGACAAGCAGATCTTTGCCCCTCCCGACTCTAATTGAAATGCTCAAGCAGAAAACTGGCCAAGATGACATTGATGTCGGGAAGCTGAGGCCAACTCTTTTCGATGCATTTGGGGAAGATGCAACCCCTAAAGTGAAAAAGTTCATGAAGATCATTATGACCAAACTACAAGGTAATGATGATGGTGAGAGTGGTGGGTTCATGGGGAAGGTTGGTGGTGCACTACAGTTCCTTAAAACAAAGATGGATCATGACGAAGGATACGGAAAACCGGCACTCGAGACCAAAGTGAGAAGTGCGAAAGATGCGTATGCAGGAGCATCTAAACACTCTCTTCCCGACAGTGGGATTCTTATCAGCGGCTGCCAGACTGACCAAACTTCGGCAGACGCCACCCCGTCGGGAAATCCAAGCCAAGCTTATGGAGCACTTAGCAATGCCATTCAAGTCATAATTGCAGCTTCAGATGGCAGAGTTACTAATAAAGAGCTTGTGCTGAAGGCAAGGCAGATGCTTAAAAAACAGGGTTTCACTCAGCGCCCTGGCCTTTACTGCAGCGACCATTATGTTGAAGCTCCATTTGTCTGCTGATAGTTTTAAAAATAATCTTCTGTTGCTATTGCTACAGATACAAATAATTCCCATGGTTTGCTCAGATAATCGTGGTTGATGAAATTGAATTGACTGTCTTGCACTGTTTGATTTATCAATCTTTTATCAATTTATTTACCGTTTGTGTTTTTCAGTTCAATGAATGAATTTTAAACAAAAAAAATGAATAATGTATTGCAGCTATAATGTAACATCCTTAATACCGGATTAGTGACTAAATTGTAAAATTTTAGAATTTAGTGATAAAAGTAGAATAGTTCAATGATTTATTTGGAAATATTTCCTGAAAGTTATTAGTAATTATCAAATGAATTAAAGGGCAAAATGATCTTTTTATCTAAAAGATAATTATCTTATCTCTTTATTAAGAGATAAGCATGTGGGGAGAGTTATCTGGAAAACTCTTCTCCTTTCTTCTTCCTCCTCCCGTGAAAGCTTAAGGCAAAGTTAATATTTTTTTGTTGTTGATTATTAGCTGAAATTTAAGTTGGGTTTTGATCATTAAGTGATACTTAAGCTTAAGGAAAGCTTAAGTTGTCTTAAAATCAAAAGATGAAGAAGTTATGAAAGATTAAAGAGAATGAGTTTTTAAGTGAATTCTGGAAAATAGTTGATAAGTTGAATTTGAAACTAAATTTGACTTGTCATCAACCTAATTAAGGAATATGGAGTGATAGAATTGGATTTAGAACATCTTGGAAATTTGGTATGATTATTGATTTCTATATGGAGAATGAAAATTTTGAAGTTTAAGATGTAATACATGAGTATAAGTTGGTTTAAGTATATGTATGTGAGTTAAGAATATAAAAGGGGATGAAACATGAAGAATTGAAGCTGGAAATAGTGAATTTTTGTGTTTGAATAGTGATTTATAGGCAAAATTTACATATTTAAACAAGGGTATCGATACCCTAAGAAGGGAATCGATACCTCAGTTAGGGGTGTACCGATACCTCAATTAGGGGTGTACCGGTACCCTATAAAGGGTACCGATACCTACGTTAAACAAGAATGAAAGTAATATTTCCTTTAGTTTAAGAAAGGAAAGATTAGAGTATATCAATTGGAATATTGATATGGATCTATGTATTGTTATGTAGATATAGAATGTAAGCTTATCCCGGAACAATCAAAGAATTAGGATCGAATCAAAGCAAGACCAAGGTGAGTGCAAATTTAATTTGTACTTATATTATCGAATAAACATTGGCTTGCGATGAGCTAGTGACGGAGTTACTATAATAAGAAGTGACTCCGAAAATGTTATTTGATTTACAATGCATGCATAAGTTATATGTGTTTACATGATTCGATAAATGATACATGATTTATATGTATGAATGAGTATATGTGTTAACATATTATTATATATGTGATTTGTATAAGTATATGTTAGTGTGATAAGTCATGTGAAACAATACAAATGATCTATATGATGGTATAAGAATATGAAATAAGTTATGTGATAAAGGCATAAGGAATGAAATGAACATGTGAATATAAGATGACCAGGTATAATTTATACTATATGGTATAAGTGAGTACACGAGAAAGGTTATGAAATTCTAGGAGAACAATATTTAAGTTAGGAGACATAGACATAAGTGATTATATGAATATGTAAGATAAGTTATATGGTAAAATTTATGTGCTTAAATGAAACAACGATATGAGATAGATGGTAAATATCTATGAAGACTTATGAAAAAAATATATGAGCTATGTGTAACTGAACTAAGTAAATGAATTATATATATATAAAAGAAATAATATAAGTGATATGTGTTTATAAGTATGACATAGGTTACATGATTTAGGTGAGTATAAAAGAAGAAAGCATAAGCTATATAAAATGATATGAGTTAGTATATACCTATATGATATATGTTATTAAATATGATATATTTGATTATGAGAAGAAGATTATAAATCATGTGAATGTAAGTTTATAAAATAATATATATGTCTATGATAAGTCATAAGAATAAAATATGAATCAAATGATATGAGTTATATGAGAAATATATGTGAACGAGATATGATATATATGTTCATGTGAAACCATGCAAAGTGATATAAGCTATGTGACATATGAATAAGAAATCATATGAAAAGTGACATGAATTACATGAAAGTAAACTACATGATTATATGCACATGTGATATGTGACAAAGAGAAGAAATATGTGATCATAAGAGCAATGATATGAGTACATGAATATATGAAGCATAAGAAAAAATGCCCATGTTATATGATACGAGAGCTATAGATATAATTGTCATGCCAAGAGTCGAGGGTCTACGCGGTCCTTCGGGACATATACAGTATACAGTGGTCATTCGGGACAAATACATAGGTCCTCGGGACAAATTTCACATGCCCCTAATAGAACCCCATACGAGCTGTGGTGACAACATATGTGCACAACCTCTATGTACTCACATATATTTAGTTCTCATAAGTGTACCATGGGCTCATAAAAAGATAATAACAAATACAATATATGTGATGGATATACTTTTGGTGATATTAAATGTGTTATATGAATTATATGATGTTATGTATGCATTGATTATACAATGGGAGATATGCTTTTATATGATATGATAATATTAATTGTTTATGTAATGATATGAGTAGAGTAATATCATATGTTTTCATGTCTCACTAAGTCAACAACTTAGCGTGTGATTGTTTCACACGTAGGTTCCGAGAAGAGGAAGACTGATAAAAGTTAAGCAAGACATGTCAGTTTCTCCTTTCCAAAAATCAGATCAGAAAAGAAATGAATAGTTTGTTTTTGTAATACTAATTGTGGTTGGCATGTAAATAAAAGTTTGAATCCGATATGTTATAATCGGTTTTGTAAAATCATATGATCGAGTTTTGTAATGTTTTAAAACGTATATATGTAAATGGTAATCTTTATGGTGATGAAAGTTTAATTTTTATGAGTTTTATATAAGTGGACCGAAATTACTGTAACAAGGGTATCGATAAACTGTAGCAGGATATCGATAACCCTGCATCATTTTAAAAAATTTAGCATTCGGTACTGTTCACGGTACTGTTCACTACTGTTCATGGTATTGTACATTAATGTTTACAATACTGTTCATACCGTATAATAGTATTCATAAAAACGTTTCTTTCCTTAAATTTGTTATGACTAACATAATTCAACAGTATATTATCGTATTTTTTAATATAAGTCCAAACGTTTTGTTTTTTGTAAGAATATTGTATGAATAAGTAAATATAATATCTCAGACTCGTATCTGGGTCGGATACGGGTTGGGGGTGTTACATATAACTTGAATAAGCATTTGGTTACAGGTTAGTATTCAAGTTATTTCAGGTTTTGCTACAATGAATACACAACCTAGGGATCTATTTAGTCTGTTTGCCCTTTCAGAAAATATTGATATACAAAATTATAGCAAAAAAAAAAATCAGTATGAATAAGGCTGCACGATCCCAAATTATGGTGCATGGCAAATTTTTCTTCTTCCACTATGAAGCTTAGCAAAGGATAACACTGATTTCTCAGTCTCTTTGACTATGCTCCTTTCGTTCTTCAAAAAGTTGTCACAAAACTCAAAAACCTTGGAGAAGAACGACCGCTACTAGCTCTTAATCTTCAATATCTTGAACCCATGTCAAATCTGCATCCAAAGAGTTCAGAAATCGTGGTTTTGTATATTCACGTTATTTAAAAGATGGGGTGGATCTAGATTTGAAGATTTGTCAATTCAATTTGCTTGATCAAAAGAACTGAGAGTTTTCAACAGTGAAGTAAACGAATAATATCCACAAAGGTGAGAGATTGAGAAAGAACCTTGCAGTACAGTTTCGACCGCCGCATTTGGAACAAGAAGGCCAACAATTCGCTGGTTATCAGCAGTGGTTTCTAGCCGTACAACACGAAGTCGCCTATGGCTGAGACGGGCCTGAAAATATAACGGTAAGTTTGGTTCACGGAAAGTAATTAATATAATGATAAATAAACGATCATCATAAAGCTTTCAAGTCATACATAGGAAAAAAAGGGTCACAAAACAAGCTGGGAATGACAGATATTCACGCACCAGCTTGAGAGGAAGTATCAGAAGGAACCGTGTAGTAGTAATAGTAATCTCATTTGATTAGGAGTCTTTTATGATAAGAAAGATGAGTCTTTGTAATCTATATAGAAGTTTATCTTTAAAGTCCTATCAGAAGTCAGCTACTCCTAATAAAATTTTAAATAAAAAATCAATAGAAAAAAGAATTCTAATCGACTTCTTTCTACAATTGCCTTTGCAAGCAATGATAGAATGTTATAGTTATCCCAGCAATGCAATGCCATGAAACATAAATTGTGAAGTACATCAGAATAAGATACCTTTTACATCATGTCATTAAAAAAAGACAAAATTCAGATTTTAGAAGCGGATTAGGTTTGGAAAAGAAATTTCCTCATGAACACTTTGGTACTACAGATTATCCAACTGCCAAGGAATTATTACTAAACAGCAGACCGCTCATAAAGTCACCTGCTTAGAAAGGGCCTTCTCAATCGTGCCCCAAACTGGAAGAATGAGACCGCCCAGAACATTTACTTCCTGTATTCTTCTACCGACTGTACAGAAATTACCAAGCTTACAATTGGGGCCATGCATGCACTGCACATAGAGAAACAATAATCCATGGGAAAATCATGATGTCAGCAAAACAGAGTTTAACAATATAACTAAAAGAACAGGTTGGTCGATAAAGATGGATATAAAATTAGATTTTATCCATGAAGGAAAGAAGGAAATTAATATTAGGTATTGTAAGCAAAACACTCTATCCTTCAAAAGAGACCATCTCGGAAGCATCGACATACATGCAATACAGGTGATATGATGACATAATTCTATTTTGGACTTTAGTATGCAAATCAGATGATAAAAGAATCTTTTTTATATTGATTTATTTTACAAAATATTCAATATAATGTAAACATTGATAATTTTCATTACCATACTATCAATTTTTTCACATTTCTTATCATTAAATTTTTTACCACCAAAAG